CTTCTTCTTCTTCTTCTTCTTCTTCTTCTTCTTCTTCTTCTTCTTCTTCTTCTTCTTCTTCTTCTTCTTCTTCTTCTTCTTCTTCTTCTTCTTCTTCTTCTTCTTCTTCTTCTTCTTCTTCTTCTTCTTCTTCTTCTTCTTCTTCTTCTTCTTCTTCTTCTTCTTCTTCTTCTTCTTCTTCTTCTTCTTCTTCTTCCAAGATGCTGGTTCAACTTTCCAAGCTAACCTACATTCCTGGTATTTCATGGAGATCTTCCATGCAGGTTGTCACCAACTCTGGCTTGCTTAACCTGTGAGCTCAGACACACAGCTACATGTTTGTTTCTTTGCAATAGTGGTGAATATCTGGAGCTCAGGTGTAGGATGAGGGTGGAGGTTCGTTCTCCGAGCTGGTGGGTGGGTTTCTGAATGTTTTGTTACCAGGCTGGGTAAAGTCTTCAGCGGAGACTTTAGGGGCTGTCAATGTTGGTGGTCTTCTGTGTCTAACGGCTTCGTGTGGTCAGTAGTTCTTGTGATGGGGAAGTCATGACAGATAGATAGATAGATAGATAGATAGATAGATAGATAGATAGATAGATAGATAGATAGATAGATAGATAGATAGATAGATAGATAGATAGATAGATAGATAGATAGATAGATAGATAGATAGAAAGGTAGGTAGGTAGGTAGGCAGGCAGGCAGGCAGGCAGGCAGGCAGGCAGGCAGGCAGGCAGATAGACATGATAGATGATAGACAGATGATAGACAGACAGACAGACAGATAGATAGATAGATAGATGGACAGACACAAAGAGGTAGATAGGTAGACAGATAAATAGATGATAGAGAGACAGACAGACAGCGAGACAGACAGACTGTCAGACACACAGACAGACAGACAGATAGATGACAGACAGACAGATATAGATGGTGGATAGAGATTTGTGATAGTGGCGAATATCTGCAGCTTGGGGGTAGGATGAGGGTGAAGGTTCGTTCTCCAAGTTGGTGGGTTGGTTTCCGAATGTTTTGTTACCAGGCTGGGTATCCTCTTCAGCGCAGTTTAGGGAATGTTAGTGTTTGTCTGTTTATCAGAAGCATGGAATTTCTGCTTTTAGAGAAGAGATATTATGGGAAAGGGAGACTTTCAAAGTGATGTGTCTTCCTGTATTTTCCCAAAGGCCAAAAGAGGGTGTCATTAATATAGTTTAGACACCAGGTGGCGCTAGACTGAGATGTCTCTGAGTGGGAGGAAGGCTTTTCAAAGAACCCAGGCCAGTTTACATTTGAAAGACACAACAAACTAATATAAATGTTGGTTTCCTGATCATTGAGTCCTCCAATTCTTCTGGGTCATCACAGCTATATTTCTATGTCGAACAAGAGCAGAAAATAACCTGGCCTCAATGAGAAAGTCTACCTACGTCCAGTGGTGGGATTCAAATACCTGAACATCCGGTTCTCTGCATGGATGCAGGCCTGGGCCTAGAATGGACTTCCAGAAGTGACATCCATGCACTTCCTGTGGGCTGTTCTAGGCCTGGGAGGCTTCCTCCAGGCCTCCGAGGCCTAGAACAGACTTCCGGAAGTGACATCCACGCACTTCCAGTGGGCCAATCTAGGCCTGGGAGGCCTCCTCCAGGCCTCCGAGGCCTAGAACAGACTTCTGGAAGTGACATCCACGCACTTCCAGCAGGCCGTTCTAGGCCTGGGTGGCCTCCACCAGGCCTAGAATGGACTTCCGGAAGTGACATCCACACACTTCCAGCGGGCCGTTCTAGGCCTGGGACACCTCCTCCAGGCCTCCGAGGCCTAGAACAGACTTCTGGAAGTGACATCCATGCACTTCCGGTGGGCCATTCTAGGCCTGGGAGGCCTCCACCAGGCCTAGAACGAACTTCCAGAAGTGACATCCACTTCTGGTGGGCTGTTCTAGGCCTGGGAGACCTCCTCCAGGCCTCCGAGGCCTAGAACGGACTTCCGGAAGCAACATGGGTTCAGTTGGTTCTCCGAACTCAACAAAATTTAGCTACCGGTTCTACTGAACTAGTGTGAACTGGCTGAATCCCACCACTGCCTACGTCTATTTACAGGTACGTCTAGGCATCAGGTTTTTTTTTTCTCATTTCTCTGGCAGTTAAGCAAATATCCGTGGTGATTAAGCAAATCCATTTCACCCAATGGATGGGGTGTGGTTGTGCGTTTTGCTGGAAACTGGAAGTAAAGGGCAGAAACAGGTAAAAAAAATGTCACAAACTGGGGTCCCATGACCACAGGATGCTACAAACGGTCGTAAAGGTGAGCAGGTTGTCAAATGCCCCAAATGCAATCATGTGACAGCAGTTTGTGTGTGTGTGTGTGTGTGTGTGTGTAAGAGAGAGAAGGAGTGTCAAACTTTGAAATGGGTCATAAGTAGGTTTTGGGGAATTGGGCCAAACTTCAAATGGTCGTGAAGTGACAAGTCATAACTTGAGGACTACCTGCATAATAGGAATAGTGACACATTTTGTGTAATCTCCACTGAGACAATATCTGATGTCTGTGACTCTCTGTCTGTCTCTAATCTCCCTATTTCTCTGTCATCTCATTATCTCTCTCTCTCACTCTCTCTTTCTGTATCTATATATGTATTTCTCTCTCTCTCTATCTCACTCTCTATGAATCTCTCTCTATCATCTTGCTATCTCTCTCTATCTCTCTCTCTTTCTCTTTCTTTTCTTATCTATCTCTGTATCTCTGTGTCTCTTTTTTTCCATATGTATATCTCTATCTCATTCTCTCTGTCTGTCTGTCTGTCTATCTATCTTTCATATCTATCGATCATTCATATCTTTCATATCTATCTTTCATATCTATCTACCTGTCTATATTATCTATCTATCTATCTATCTATCTATCTATCTATCTATCTATCTATCTATCTATCTATCTATCTATCTATCTATCTATCTATCTATCTATCTATCTCTTTAATATCTATCTATCTTTCATATTTATCTATTTAGCTATCTTTCATATCTATCTATGTATCTATCTTTCATATCTATCTATCTATCTATCTTTTATATCATATCTATCTATCATATCTCATATTGTTCATATCTATCTATCTATCTATCTATCTATCTATCTATCTATCTATCTATCTATCTATCTATCTATCTAATCTCTCTTTTATATCTGTCTGTCTGTCTGTCTGTCTGTCTGTCTGTCTGTCTGTCTGTCTGTCTGTCTGTCTGTCTGTCTGTCTATCTATCTATCTATCTATCTATCTATCAAATATACTTAGCCACCCACCCCACCCCACCCCTCGTCATCAAAGCTCTCCACTCAGGTGTGTGTGTTCCCCATGCAACCCACCTGGGCATTGCCGAAGGAAGCAGTCCCGGGACTCCACCCAGGGTCCCTGGCATTCTGCCCCTCCGTACGAGGGTCCGTTGCACTCTCGCGTCCGCTGCTGGGTGCCGTTGGAGCAGGAGGTCGAACAGGAGCTCCAGCTGGACCAGGCATTCCAGTTGCCGTCCACTGAGTGGCCCAAAGGGAGAAAAGACAGGAGGCAGAATGTGAAAAACGCTTTTGCACGGCTGGGGTCGACATGCCAGCCTTCTGATCCAGTGGGGATTGCACCGATGGAAGAAAAGATTCGTAGCTCAGGGCTGAACTGTGGGGTCCTTGGGGCTACCTGAGCTTGGTGGCTTTCTTGCAGATGTTTCATGACCCAAGTAGGGAACATCATGTGCTAAAAATTGCAAACCCCACTCCCTTCAGCACTGAAGGTGTTACCTGGTTGGGTAATGAAACGCCTGGAAAAAAATGATCAAGCTCAGAGAGCACCAAGGACCCCACAATCCTCTTTCTCCTCCCTCTCCCTCTCCCTCTTCTTCCTCCTCCCTTCCACCTCCTTCCCTCCTCTTCCTCCTCCTCCTCTCCACAAATCCTACCTCCTTCTAGCACTGATGTTGTTACCCAGTTGGATGATGAAATGTCTGCAAGAAAACCACCAAGCTCCTTCCTTCCTTCCTTCCTTCCTTCCTTCCTTCCTTCCTTCCTTCCTTCCTTCCTCCCTCCCTCCCTCCCTCCCTCCCTAAGTATGATTCTATAATCTGGAACTTTATTTTGCACTGTCGTAACTTTCCAGTTAAACGTAGACCTTGAGATACGGAATTTCACACCTGCACAGCAGACAAAGGCAATCTTGCCCTCTTGACAGACATGAAATAAATATTAGCTCATCAAGACTCATGAACTACACATGAGTTTGTTTCAAAAATTAGATTTAGTTAGCTGCCCTCCAAATGTTCACGTAGGCTATAATCTCTGGAAGAAGGGTAAGAGAAACAACAGCAAACAATCCTGAAGGAGAGAGGCTGTTTATCCTGATTGTTTCCTTCCAGACTGGGAAGACTGAGATTATAAATCCCATCTTGGAATGGTAGATGTCGCAGAGGCATACAAGAGAAGAATTTTGCATGGACCCTCCAGTGAATAGCTCTAATAATGACTTGAATAATGGGCCCTATCTAACAGCATGGAATCCAATGTGGAGAAAAGCAAAGTTTTACATTTAGGCAAGAAAAATCAAAGGTACAAGTACAGATTGGGTGAGACCTGCCTCAAAAACAGCAACTGTGAGAGGGACCTTGGAGTCCTAGTGGACGATCACTTGACCATGAGCCAGCCGTGTGCGGCAGCAGCCAAAAAAGCTAATACAATCCTGGGTTGTATAAACAGAGGCATAGAATCAAAATCACCTGAAGTATTAGCACCGCTTTATAAAGCCTTAGTAAGGCCACACCTGGAATACTGCAGCCAATTTTGGTCACCACATTACAAAAAAAGATGTTGAGACTTTGGAAAAAGTTCAGAGAAGAGCAGCTAAGATGATCCAAGGCCTGGAGACTAAAACAGATGAAGAACGGTTGCAGGAGCCAGGTATAGCTACTCTAACGAAGAGAAGGACAAGGGATGATATGATAGCAGTCTTCCAATATTTGAGGGGCTGCCACAACGAAAAGGGGGTCAAGCTATTCTCCAAAGCACCAGAAGGCAGGACAAGAAGCAACAGATGGAAGCTTATCAAAGAGAGAAGCAACCTAGAACTAAGGAGAAATGTCTTGACAGTTAGAACAATCAAGGGAACGACTTGCCTCCAGAAATCGTGGGCGCTCCATCACTGGAGGTTTCTAAGAAGAGACTGGACAGCCACTTGTCTGAAAGGATACAGGGTCTCCTGCTTGAGCAGGGGGTTGGACTAGAAGACCTCCAAGGTCCCTTCCAGCTGTATTCTATTCTGATATTCTAATTCAAGGAGACAGCAAAGAAGCACTGAGTGAATTTCTTGAGCAGTTTTCCTGCCAAAGCAAGGGAAAGAAACATATCGATGGAATCCTTCAGGGCTGTTCTTGCTTTTTAATATCAGCTGCCTCGGTTTTGATAAGACATTTTTTTCTCTTTTGACAGTCTAGCCCTGCTCCCGTCTGTAATCTGTAAATAAGCTATTGATGACTTGGTTTGCCGGGCTGAATATCCTAACAGGAATATCCCAACAGGAATTTGGGATGATAAAGCAAATACAAATGATTTCAAAGCATAAGGATTTAAGCCCCGCCCCCCCCAGCCCCATTTGCACTATTGTAAGCTTTTCAGTTTCTCAAAACTTCTGAATTCCCCCCCCTCTTTGCACAATGTAATTAGCTCAAAGCACACCGCATACACACAGACTAGCACACACCCAGTCTGAAACCTGAGCCACAATTTATCACCGAACTGGCGACACCTCCTCCTGCAATGTGCAATTTAGGAATGAAATATGAGTAATTTTTATTGTAGCAATATATCTTGCATGTGGCTTGAGATGACGGACTGGATCCAATTATCTCAGAACTTATATCGCTAAAACAGGGAGGCCAAAGATTAATTCCCCAACCCAAGAGATGAGGTTGGAATGATCTGTGAATCAGAGGACTGTAGATCTTTAGATGTCTTCAAGCTTCACGAACCACCTTGGACCAATATAGACAATGCTGGGTCACCCAACTCTAGATAAGCAAAGTTTGTTCCCATCACAAGACCTATCACAAGATGCTCACCTGACGTGACCCACACCTGACCAATGACAAGACCCCTCACAAGACCTGTCACAAGAGCCTCACCTGACGTGACCCACACCTGACCAATGACAAAACCTATGACAAGACCCCTCACAAGACCTTCACCTGAGGTGACCTTCACCTGACCCATCACAAGATCCATCACAAGACCCTCATCTGACGTGACCCACACCTGACCCATCACAAGACCCATGACAAGACCCTCACCCGAGGTGACCCTCACCTGGCCCATGACAAGACCCTCACCTGAGGTGACCCACACCTGACCCATCATGAGACCCTCATCTGATGTGACCCACACCTGACCCATCACAAGATCAATCACAAGACCCTCATCTGATGTGACGCTCACCTGGACCCATCACAAGACCCTCACCTGTGACCCACATCTGACCCATCACAAGACCCATCACAAGACCCTCACCTGAAATGACCCTCACCTGACCCATCACCCAATCCATCACCTGACCCATGACAAGACCCTCACCTGACATGACCCTCACCTAACCCATGACAAGACCCTCACCTGATGTGACCCACACCTGACTCATCACAAGACCCTCACCTGATGTGACCTTCACCTGGCCCATCATAAGACCCATTACAAGACTCTCATCTGACGTGACCCACACCTGACCCATAACAAGACCTATCACAAGATCTTCACTTGAAGCGACCCACACCTGATCCATCACAAGACCCATCATAGGACCCTCACTTGTTGTGACCCCCATAAGACCCCTCACATGACCTTTACCTTAGGTGATCCTCATCTAACCCATGACAAGACCCTCATCTGTTGTGACCCTCACCTGGCCCATCATAAGACCCATCACAAAACCCTCATCTGATGTGACCCACACTTGATCCATAACAAGACCCATCACAGGACCCTCACTTGATGCGACCCATCACAAGATCCCTCACAAGACCTTCACCTGAGGTGATCATCTAACCCATGACAAGACCCTTACCTGAAGTGATCCACACCTGACCCATCACAAGACCCATCACAAGACCTTCAGCTGACATGACCTTCCCATCACAAGACCTACTGACCACACCCAACGTAAACAGAAGACCACCTGTAACCCTGACCTTTCCTAAACTCCACTGAAGATGTTACCCAGCCTGGTAACGAAACGTTCGGAAACCAGCCCACCAGCTTGGAGAACGAACCTCCACCCTCATCCTCCACCCGAGCTACAGAGATTCGCCACTCTCGCAAAGTTGTTTTGTTCATAGGTTCATCATAATAAAGACAAGTATGTACATACACACACACACCCCTCAGCTGAGTAATGGGAGATTCTTTTTAGACTTCTGCTAATATAATTCAGTTTTCGCCCCCAGCGGTGATTTCTAGAAGAAAACTCGGCCTCTAGAAGTGGGGAAAATGGTCACATTCCTTACATTATCTTTGTTTTGCTCACATTCTCATTCCATAACATGGATATTCCTTGACTCAACCACCATTTATTTAGCAATTGTTCAAAGTTACAACGGGCACTGAGAAGAGGGGCTCATTTCACACTTAACAACCGTTGCAGCATCCCCGTGGTCACATGGTCAAAATTTGGGTGCTTGGCAACTGGCGTGTATCGTTGACGGTTTCCCTGTCTCGGGATCACGCAATCCCCATTTGTCACCTTCCCCACCAGCTTCTGACACGCAAACTCCATGGGAGAAGCCAGATTTGCATAAGCATGACGTGATTCATTTAACGACAGTGGACAAAGCAGATCACACAATGGAGCAACAACTCACAACCACGGCCTGGCTTAGCCCTGCAAAAAATTGAGAACCAACCGTGATCGTAAATCAATCTGCACATCAATATATAAGTATTTATGGTATGGCCCCATTCTGTGCACAAAGTTTAAAATTAGGATTTAATGGACATCCCAGAGGGGATGGCTTACCGTTTTCCTTTGTACGGGTAAGTCCTCGACTTAACAACAATTGAGCCCAAGATTTCTGTTGCTAAGTGAGGCGGTTGTTAAATGACTTTTGCCTGCATTTTGCAACAAAGGGATCACATGAGCCTGGGACACTGCAACCGTTGTAAATGCGAGTCAGTTGCCAAGCGTCTGAATTTTGATCGCGCGACCACGGAGATTTTGCAACGATTGTTAAGTGTGAAAAACGGTCGTTAGTCATTCGAACGGTCACTAAACAAACCTTTGTAAGTTGTAAGAGGACCGCTTGTAGTGAATACTCTGGACACCCCAGCCCAGCAATCCAGTTTGCTCCAGTAAAAAAAAAAAACACTAGGATGCGTGGGTGGGTGGGAGAGAGATATATTTTCTTCCAGTCCTCCCTGTATCCTGACCTTTCCCAGAACACAAACCATCTTTGTTAAATGGCTGGCATTTCTCTCTTTAATTAACATCCAAGGGTGTATGTGTGTGTGTGTGATAAAACTCTAAAAGCAGTGCCCAGTTGTTTGCCAAGATTTTCACTCCGAAGATCCAGCAGTTTAATTATCGGCGCCTCACTGCACCAAATCAAACAGCCGTCAGCCAGCCAGAATTTAAGCAGAGTTCCTGCTGCAATTAAGCAATATTTTCCCAGCTTCCCTTCCTCTTCTTTTCCTAAAGAAGTCATTCCAGATCTCTTGTCCAGCTGCAAATAAATGCCGCATTGGAGAATTGTCATTGTTTTGAGTAATTAAACTAGACCTAGCCAATTCCTGCAACCGACTTTATATGTTTGAGCCTCCAGTCCCCTCATCATCTTTGTTGCTCTTCTCTGTACTCTTTCCAGAGTCTCAACATCTTTTTTTTATATTGTGGTGGCCAAAACTGGATGCAGTATTCCAAGTGTGGCCTTACCAAGGCATTGTAAAGTGGTATTAACACTTCATGTGATCTTGATTCTATGCCTCTGTTAATGCAGCTTAGCACTGTGTTGTTGTTTTTTGGCAGCTGCAGCACACTGCTGGCTCATATCGAAGAGATTGTCCACTAGGACTCCGAGATCCTTTTCACAGTTACTATTATTGAGCAAGGTACCCCCTCTAATATACCTGTGCATTTGTTTTTTCTTGCCTAAATGTAGAACCTTACTTTTTTCACCATTGAATTTCATTTTGTTAGATAGCGCCCAGTGTTCAAGTCTGTCCAGATCCTCCTGTATCCTAAGCCTGTCTTCTGGAGTGTTGGCTATTCCTGCCAGCTTGGTATCATCTGCACATTTGATGAGTTCCCCATCTATCCCCTTGTCCAAATTGTTGATGAAGATGTTGAAGAGCACTGGGCCCAGAACAGAGCCCTGGGGCACCCCACTACACACTTCCCTCCATGTAGATGCAGTTCCATTGAGGACCACACGCTGAGTATGGCCGGTCAGCCAGGCATAATAAAACAGGGAATTAAAAAATGTGTCATCGATGCGTCACTCTCATTGTGGCTACTAAAATTCCTGTATCCCATCTCTCCTCTCTCCGAAACTAGTGGTCAGTTTTATGGAGATCAACCTTAAATATTATTTAAGCCCGAAGATCTTATTGCTATTTCTCCCCATCTACAATTCATTAAAAGCACATTCCCTTTGGGGCTGTTTCCACTTGTTTTTCTCCAGTGAAGTGAAGGCATAATTGCTGTTACAACCATTTGGTTAGTGACCGTTCCAAGTTACAATGGCCCTCAGAAAGCTGACTTATGACCGTTTTTGCAGCCTCCCCCATGGTCACGTGATCAAAATTCAAACACTTGGCAACTGGCTTGTACTTATGACAGTTGTAGTGTCCTGGGGTCATGTGATTTTGCGACTTTCTGACAAGCAAAGCCAATGGGGGAAGCCAGATTCATTTAACAACCACATGATTAGTGCAACCACCCCAGTGATTCACTTAATAACTCTGCCAAGAAAGGTCACAAAATGGGGCAAAACTCACTTAACAACTTTCTCGCTTAGTAACAGAAATTTTGGGTTCAATAGTGGTTGTAAGTCGAGGACTACCTTTATCCAAATCCAAACCTTGGAAAAATTGGATGGCTAGGGAATGCAAGTCGACAAAAGGTGGGCTTTTCTTATTCCAAGCTACACATGGTTGTTTTTGTGACCCCAGTCCTCACTCCTAAAAAATACTAATGTTAGTTCCAGGATTGTAGGTTGCAAATTTCAACCTGGACATGACTCTTGTTGTTGTTAGTTGCGAAGTCGTGTTCGACCCATCGCGACCCCATGGACAACATTCCTCCAGGCCTTCCTGTCCTCTACCATCTTCTGGAGTCCATTTAAGCTCACGGCTCCTGCTTCAGTGACTCCATCCAGCCACCTCATTCTCTGTCGTCCCTTTCTTCTCTTGCCCTCCATCTTTCCCAGCATTAGGCTCTTCTCCAGTGAGTCCTTCCTTCTCATTAGGTGGCCAAAGTATTTGAGTTTCAACTTCAGGATCTGGCCTTCTAAAGAGCAGTCGGGGTTGATCTCCTCTAGGACTGACCGGTTTGATCGCCTTGCAGTGGACATGACTCTGTATGGCTGTATATAGAGTTGCACCATGTTTACTTTTGTGCAGTGTTTTCTGGGGCTCCTGTGCCACAAAAATACCATGTTGAACATTCTTGGTTCAACTAGACAGGTGATCATCCTTGACCTACGCCAACAACTGAGGCCAACATTTCCGTTGCTAAGCAGGACTGTTCTTAAGTGAGTTGTGCCTGATTTGATGAGCTTCTTTGCCACAGTTGTTCAAGGAATCGCTGCAGCTATTAAGTTCCTTCTTTATTTGTGGCAGAAGCACTTACAAATTCAAATAAAACGGGTATAAAATAGGTCATAAAAATATAACGTGTGTGAGAAGTATATACATATACATATGTTTGTGTGTATGTGTTAAGTAAGTCATATAGTTGTTAAGCGAATCCAGCTTCCCTCATTGACTTTGCTGGTGAGAGAGAGAGAGAGAGAGAGAGAGAGAGAGAGAGAGAGAGGAGAGAGAGAAAGGGATTAGAGATGATAGAGAGAAAGAGAAAGATTGATAGATAGATAGATGAGAGAGAGAGATGATAGATATAAGATAGATAGATAGATAGATAGATAGATAGATAGATAGATAGATAGAGATAGATAGATAGATAGATAGATAGACAGACGTAGATAGATAGATAGATAGACAGATAGACAGACGTAGATAGATAGATAGATAGATAGATAGATAGATAGATAGATAGATAGATAGATAGATAGATAGATAGATAGATAGATACGTTGTTAAGTGAATTATATGGTTATTAAGTGAATCTGGCTTCCCCCATTGACTTTGCTGGTCACAAGCCAGCTGGGAAGGTCACCAATGGTGATCACATGACCCCAGTACACTGCAGCCATCATAAATACGAGCCAGTTGCCAAGCGTCTGAATTTTGATCACATGACCACGGGGATGCTGCAATGGTCCTAAGCAGTGGTGTGATTCAAATATCTGAACATCCGATTCTCTGTGTGGATGCAGGCCTGGGCCTCCAAGACCTAGAATGGACTTCCGGAAGTGACATCCATGCACTTCTGGTGGGCCGTTCTAGGGCTGGGAGGCCTCCGCCTAAAATGGACTTCCGGAGGTAGGCCTAAAATGGACTTCCAGAGGTAACATCCACGCACTTCTGGTGGGCCGTTCTAGGCCTGGGAGACCTCCTCCAGGTTTCTGAGGCCTAGAACAGACTTCCAGAAGCAGCATGGGTTCAGCCAGTTCTCCGAACTCAACACAATTTAACTACCGGTTCTACCGAACTAGTGTGAACTGGCTGAATCCCACCACTGGTCCTAAGTGTGAAAAGTGGTCACAACCAATTTTTTCCCCACTGCCATTGTAACTTTGAACAGTCACTAAACGAATGGTTATAAGCCGAGGACTACCTGCCTGTACCGTCCCACCAGGACTGCATTTTTTGGCAGTATAAATTCCCCTTCATTAAACCATCATCCTTTCTTCAATCTCCAGAAGCGGAAAACACAATTTCTTTTTTTAAAAAAAGAGAAAATCACGATTCCCCACCGGTCATGGATGTTGTGGGGGGGGGACAGGAGGGAAAGTTTCTTTACCAAATTACCTGGGCAAAGAGCGATATTGCAGAACTTGGTTTGCTTCTCAGGACCTTCGCAGGGGCTCCCTCCGAACTGGGGGGGTTTGCATATCCGGGTGCGATCTCTGTATCCCCGTCCGCAGGTTGACGAACAGAGACTCCAGGGCGACCATTCGTCCCAGATGCCATGTACTGTAATGAAAGAAATAGAATAGAATAGAATAGAATAGAAGAGAAGAGAAGAGAAGAGAAGAGAAGAGAAGAGAAGAGAAGAGAAGAGGAGTAGAGTAGAGTAGAGTAGAGTAGAGTAGAGTAGAGTTGAAGGAATAAAATAGAGTAGGGTAGGGTAGAATAGAATAGACATAGAATAGAATAGAATAGAATAGAGTAGAGTAGAGTAGGGTAGGGTAGGGTAGGGTAGGGTAGAAGGAATAGAGTAGAGTAGAGTAGAGTAGAAGGAATAAAATAGAGTAGGGTAGGGTAGGGTAGGGTAGAGTAGAATAGAATAGAATAGAATAGAATAGAATAGAATAGAATAGAATAGAATAGAATAGAATAGAATAGAATAGAATAGAATAGAATAGAGCAGAGCTGGGAGGGACCTTGTAGGTCTTCCAGTCCAGCCCTCTGCTCAAGCAGGAGAACCTATACCACTCAGACAAGTGACTGTCTAGTCTCTTCCTAAAAACCACCAGTGATGGAGCACCCACAACTTCTGAAGTCTCTGTATCTGCTCACTGTTGATCACTTATTTATGATTTCTTTCTTTCTTGGATGTTCATCCCCACCTTTCTTGTTCTTTATCAGGAACTCAAAAAAGTAAACATACCTGAGTCTCTTTCCGCCTCCTATTTAACTCACAACAACAACCCTGTGAGGTTGGGATTGGGTTGAGAGAGAAGAACCAGCCCAAAGGTATGCAGTAGGCTTTTGTGCCTCAGGTGGAACTAGAATTCACCCTCTCCTGATATTTGGCACAATGTCATCCAGTCAGCTTTTGTGCCTAAGGGAGGACTAGAACTCACAGTCTCCTGGTGATTGGCCCAAAGTCACCCAGCCAGCTTTTCTGTCTAATGAGGGACTAGAAGTCCCAGTCTCCTGGTGATTGGCTCAAAGTCACCCAGCTGGCTTTCAGGCCGAAGGCAAACTAGAACTCACCCTCTCCTAGTGATCGGCCCAAAGTCACCCAGGAAGCTTTCATGTCTAAGGCGGGACTAGAACTCCCATCTCCTGGCTCCTAGACCAATACATAGACCAAACTGGCTGTCTTTTTATAGCCTCTTTGTTCTGCATTCCACCTTCCCCGTTTATTCTGCGCAAATTAAACAGCTGGAGACACATTTTTAGGTCAACGTAGATCAAGGTGTCGCAGTGTCAACATGGAGGTGGGAGAGAGGGCAAATCCTGATTAAAATTTGCCACTGGACACTCCAGAGAAGCTGATAAGAAAAAACAGGTTCCATTTTCCACTTATAAGCTCCTAGTAAATTGCAGGGTTTTTTTTTTTAGCAGAAACCAATTTTCCCTTTTCTGACTGGAGGATTAGCAAATCTACATGCTTGCAGTCCAGGACCTTCGAATTGTTCGTATTCAGCGAACATTTTAAGCGTAATTTCTGCATTCATTTGCAAGTCTAAGGACGCCCCAGGTGGACGTTTCCACTCAAATAAAGCTAATACTTTCACCCGTAATTTTGGCGCCGATTTGCAATTCTAAGAGTTCTCTTTTTTGATTCCGCTCAAGCTTGCCTTTTCCTCCCAAATCGTATTTAAATACGTATTTCGAGGAGGTTTCAGGTTCCTGAAATTGGTGTTCAAACATTATTAGCGTCAGCCCCACTTGTTCGTATTTAATACGTGCAAAGAGTTCGCCTTGTACAGAAGCCAGGAGAAGGAACGCCGGTTAAAATACGAAAACATCTGTTATTAAGTGGTGTAAACATATCGAGTCAGCGCTGCAAGATATAATCAGGAGAAGGCTATTCTTCACTGCAGATCTGAAGGAATTTGCTCCCTTTTTAAGTTCACCATTTGAAATTCGGTTTCAAAGTGAAGGATTTACAAAAATATTCCCTCCCGGACACTGGAGGTCCAAAGAAGCCATTCAGATGTTTCGGTATTCTCCAAGTTGGATTCCAAGGAGAGGTAGAACTCATCTTAGGATCAAAATTGAGCCAGAATTTCCACTGCTAAGCGAGACCGTTGTTAAGTGAGTTTTGCCCCCTTTCCTGCCCCGGTTGTTAAGTGAATTACTGCGGTTGTTAAGTGAATCTGGCTTCCCCTGTTGACTTTCCTTGTCAGAAGGTCGTCAAAGGGGATCGCAGGATGCCCAGGATGCTGCAACTGGCATAAGTACGAGTCAGTTGCCAAGCCTCTGAACGTTGATCACATGACTGTGGAGAGGCTGCGACGGTTGTGTATAATATAGTCATAAGTCACTTTTTTTCCCCAGTGGCATTGTTAACCTCGAACGGTCACTAAACAAATGTTGTAAGTCAAGGACTATTTGTAATTTAAAACCGTCTCTTTGGGGCTTCAGTCATTCCACGATGGCAAGTTTGATATCTCCCTAATCCAACTAGGCTGGATCAGAATTCCTAAACAGGCTCCTTTGGGATCCAATGTATGGGCTGTGTCAATCACCTGCCTCAGCAGATCATTTATCTCTTAATTAATTAATTACAATTCATTCTGTGGTTCGTTGCATTCTAAGTTCCCCAGAAGGTGATGCTGAAAATTAGGATGGGTAGCTCTGATACAGGAGAGTATTTGTAGCTTAGGGTTGAGCTGTGGGGTCCTGGGTGGTCCCTGAGCTTCTTGCAGAGGTTTCATGACCTAACTAGGGAACATCATCAGTGTTAGAAGGGAGTGGGTTTTATGGAGTGGAGAGGAGGAGGAGGAGGAGGAAGAGGAAGAGGAAGAGGAAGAGAAAGAGGAAGAGGAAGAGGAAGAGGAGGAGGACTGTGGGGTTCTTGGTGCTCTCTGAGCTTGGTTATTTTCTTGCAGATGTTTCATGACCCAACTAGGTAACATTATTATTATTATTATTATTATTTATTTAACTTATATGCTGCCCTTCTCCCCATGGGACTCAGGGCGGCTCACAGCATATTAAAAACAATACAAAACATTTCCCCTGTAAAAGCCAATTAAAAACCAAATATTTATAGCTGTGTCTTATTAAAATCATTAAAATTGTCCCTATTTAAAAATTCACCCTAGGTCAGTCCCGCTTGCTGAAAAAGCCATGTCTTGAGGGCGCGGCGGAAGG